TGGACTCGAGGTCCTTCCACTTTCATTTTTAACCCGATTCTTTTCTCAAACATTTTAGTTTATCCTTTAAAAAAATTAATGATAAACGCTATGACAGATCTGACCTGGTCTTCACTGGTGGTAGGTGAGCTTTTTTTCCTGGTTCAAAGTGGAAAGAACAGTGAATAATGAGGTTAGAGGAAAAGGTAGACCCTAGCTGTGAAAGGAGGGGGCGAGGAGGAGAGAGTGGTGGGATGGTGATTACACTTAATATATGTATTGGTGGAGTGATGGGACAGTGTCCTTTACTTGCCCTCTACCAGCCCCCTGTTTGTGGCTTTGCCTCTTTCTCTGTGGGGCTGTCAGGCAGAGTGGCTTTGGCCTGTGCGTGTCTGTGTGAGCCTGTGTGAGCCTGTGTTTACACCCTTGCATCGGGGCAAAGGGAAGGGGAGGCTTAGTTCTGTGTAGCCCCACATTTATAACGTGCTGTAACCTGCAGAGTAGTTTACTGGAGTAAGACTTAAGTACCGTTACGCTGGTAATTTCTTACCAGTCATTTCCTTAAGTTAGCAGTGGCTGAGCGTTGCTACTCAAGTTCTGGACCTGGTACAGCTTGGTCTTCTTTGTTCATTACCTTTCTGTTATGTTTAGGAAAAAGGAGCCCATATGGACATACGCTTTCAGCCCATTTTTTTGCTGCCTCTCACTTCCTTGACCAGAGGGAAGAGAAGCGGGAACCTGAACTAGAAGGCAGACCCTGCAGTCTCACCTACCTGGCAGTGTTCGGAGCAGGAAGTGGTGGTAGCAGCCCCAAGGTCTCCTGGAAGGCTGGGCTGTCCTCTTCGCACAGGAGTGAGCCTGCACTTCTCCCAGCAGGTGCCAGCAGCACAGTGACAGGGTGGCAGCATAGCTGGGGAGCGAGTTGCCCCTGGGATGAGAAGGCAGGCTTCCCGTTGTCCCAAGGTTGACAGAGTAGACTTGTGGTTCTTATCAACCCCACCAGATGTGTCCAGCTGTTTCACTTTCTACTCCATCCCAACCAAACATACTTAAAGTTCAAAACAACACTTACATCATTGAAACAAAAGTGTTTACAACGTGAAGCCTTGCCTTAGGCTTTTAGTAATTTAAGTCATTAATCTAGTGACAAAGGGAGTGGAGTATACTCTTCTATGGCATTGAGTCTGGGAAAGTCCAGGCCCAAGATTGGTTTCCATGGGCTCTCCTCAGACTATAGGATTTTAAGTGGCAGATCTAGAGATCAAAGATGACAGCAGAGGAGGTGGTAGGTACTCTCACCTCTGCTCAGGACCAGACTGGAATTATGGCTAAAATATAGAGCAATCAACCTGAATAACCAGCTGAAGACTAGCTGAAGAGAGGTCTCATAACCTAGGAGTTACAGAAGAAGCCACATATTGAGACTGGTAGGAAGGGCAGAGATGGGAAAAAGGCTTGCTCCACTCCCACTGGCGGCTGCTGAGATTCCAGAGGGATATCTCAGCTGCCGGGGGCTCCCCCTGAGATGCATGGGGTCTCAACGACAAACCCAGAGCACCAGAGCCAGGAAGAAGCGCCCACATAACATCTGTCTGAAAATCAGCAGGGATTCTGTCTGCCAGGGAGAAACAGGAGTCTGCTAGAGACACAGGTGCCCCTTTAAAGGATCAACACACAAAATCTCGTTCTCAGCCACTTACCCTGGGCTCTGGCAGAGGGAGGGTGGAGTGGACTAGAGTTATTAGAGGAGAGACTGGAGTTTGTGGCTCTAGGGAGAGAGCTGAGGGGACAACCGCCAGGACGCCCTTGCTGAGTCACTCTAGTGCACTATGGATGCCATCTTTCTTGGGTGGCGAAAGGGACTTTTGAGACAATATGAAGTGTAATGACATCCACATCATAGGGGAACCAGGAGGAGAAGAGAGCAAGAAATTGAGCACCTAAATGGAAGAAATAGTGACTAAAAACTTTTCTAACCTGGTGAAGGAAAAAGACACACAAATCCAGCAAGCATAGAGAGTCCCAAATAAGATGAACCCCAAAAGGCCCACAATAAGACACATCATAATTATAATGGCAAAGGTGATAGACAAAGAGAGAGTCTTAAAAGTAGCAAGAGAAAAGCAGTTAGTTACCTGCAAGGGAACTACCATAAGACTGTCAGATGATTTCTTACCAGAAACATTTCAGGCCAGAAAGGATTGGCATGAAATATTCAAAGTGATGAAAAACAAGGACCTGCAACCAAAACTACTTTACCCAGCAAGGCTATCATTTATAATTGAAGAAGAAATAAAGAGCTTCCCAGAAAAGAAAAACCTAAAGGAGTTTGCTACCACCAAACCAGCATTACAAGAAATGTTAAAGGGCCTTCTTTAGGAACATTTTCTAGGACAGACCACATGTTAGGGGTTGGTGAGGGGATTAAGCAAAGAAAACAAAACAAAACTCATAGACACAGACAACAGTATGGTGATTACGAGAGGGAAAGGGGGTGGAGGAAGGTAGAAGGAGGGTTAAGGGGTATAAATGGTGATGGACTGAGGCTTGACTTGAGGTGGTGAACACACACTACAATATTCAGATGCTGTATTGTAGAATTGTATACCTAAAACCTATATAATTTTATTAACCAATGTCACCCCAAAAAATTCAATAAAAATTAAAAAATAAACAAATGAAAATGGAAGTAAAATCCTAGCAGTAAAAAAAAAAAAAAAGAGAGGAGAGAATGCCCCTCTTATAATAGGTTTTTAGTTTTACACTTTTGCTTTAAAAAATGTAAGAGAATTCTGTGACCTAGTTTATTGTAGTATAGATAGATGTACCTACGTTACTAAGCAAATAACATTCTCCAAGACTAAAAAAAGACATTTTGAAAACCATCTCATATTACATAGCATTAAAGAAAGCATAGTACTGTCTCTTAATACCAACCCGATCATAAAGGAGTCTTCCTGAAAGCAATTTAAATGGCAATAGATCTTTAAGTAGCATTTATGATTTCTTATTTATGAAAATGCTCCCAAAGTTTATGAGCTGAACAGACTGCCAAGGATGTGATATTATATTTAAAGTTCCTCTGCAAACTGTCAAAGGATAAAGAAATTCTCTCCTCAAAAAAAAAAAAAAGTGATCTAGATCACCAACTAGTTAATGGGGAAGAACCCTTAATCCTAGCTTCTTAAAAAAAATTTTTCTTTAAATTTATTGGTTGATTTTAGAGAGAGAGAAAGGGAGAGAGAGAAATACTGATTTGCTGTTCCACTTATTTATTGTGTTCATTGGTTGATTCTTGCATGTGCTTTGACAGGGGATGGAGCCTGCAACCGTGGTGCATCGGGACAATGCTCTAGCCACCTGAGCTACCTGGCCAGGGCCCAGCTTCATTTTTTCCTCTTTTTCTCCTGGACACCTTGTCCCCCTGAATAGCTCATTCATCAGCCCCAACTAGAATTACTCAAACAGACTGAGTTTTTTTAGGACTCTGTGACTGAGACTTTGCGCGGTGGTGTTTTTGGTGGGTTGACAATTTACCTTTTTTACTGACCTGTCATGGTGTCATCTCTTCCTCTTGTTCAGAGCCCCTCCTTTGGGGCAGTCTTTACAGTTTGTGGTATCTTTTTAGTGTAAGTATAGCTCAGTGAACCATTTTCCTAAGTTATAGTATCATAGTTTGGAAAAATTTTGTTCAGTTTAGATGACTTTAATGTGCCACAGTCAATAAAATTTAAGATTACACCAGAGAGCAGGTTTTCTTCCAAAGGCTCAGTTTGTTGCTAAAATGCTCTGTCCATACAAATTTAGTAGCAGTTCAGCCTTTTCTGGAATTAGCTGGTATACCTTCTTTATATTTTTCATTATTTATTAGTCTTACTTAGCTAATGATTTCAGTTCTGTCTCTCAGGGAATGACTAAAGCTGGGTGAAGCTTATTATTTTAAAGTATACATTACATGCAGCAGAAGAGAACAGTCATTGAAAATAAAGGGTTGGGCCAGGAGGGTGAAAACCCAGTAATTGTGTTCAGGAGTCTCCAGAGGTCTTGACTCATGCTATTGAAGAAATAATGAGATTATGATTAGTCATTCGTATTATTCTTAGAAACTGGTAATTATAAAACATTTAACCCGAATAGTACAGTTTTCATCATTATGAGATACAGCATAAAATATTTAAATGTTACCTGGAATGACTGTTTTTCCTGTCATCATCATAATTTATATTTCAAAGGACCATTTGAACTGTTTTCAGTTTCATGTGCTCCGAGTTTTACAAGCAGGCTCCTCTCAGCCCTGTGTGGCAGATTGTGCGGGTCAGGTCAGGAGGGCGAAGCTCAGGGCGGCTGCTTGCCTTCCCTTCTAGCCTTCGGAAGGTCCCACTGTCTGTTGTATGGGTTCTAATAGTTAAGTTTTGCTTAACTGATCACTCTTGGAATTTCTTACATCATCCCTTTTATGTCTTTTATTCCCCCTTCTCTTTCCGTCTTCAGTGCCGCCTACTTATTTATCTGTTTATATAAAATACACCTTTTTATATATAGGGTTTCCCCCAAAATGCATAACCCACTTTCAATAATTACAAAGGCAGTGTTTATTAAAATACATTTCATTTTCAGAGTCGAGCTATCAGCTGTTAAAGTGTATACATTCGTTTGGGACACCCTGTAGGTACCTGTCCATGTCTATGCCTTTTTATTATTTATAAATGCCATGTGTTTTGCGTGAAGGCTATGGCTGCTGTGCTCCGAGTCCTCTGTTGGACTCCACCGGTGGTGGCCTGCTTGTCCTCGGTCTCTTGACTGGACAGGCAGAGTCCCTATTGTGTTGGAGGTTTCCACGGGTAAGCTGTTAATTCTTTGTACGTTGTAAATATCTGGCTGCAGTTCATGCGAGGGAAAAACTGAGCCCGGCGTGGAATTTATGTCCCTTTCTAATTTTACTAATTTCTTACTCTTTCCTTCTCAGTTGACTTTTAAATAGCCATTATTTATGGCCTTCCCCTCACTTTGTTTCTCCGCAGAGTGACACCCCTCTCCTCGCAGAATGTGGTGATTCATCACGGCCAGACCCAGGAATATGTGTTCAAGCCCAAGCACTTCGCGGCCCAGAAGGTGATGTCGGGAGAGCAGTCCACCGAGGGCTCGTTCCCCTTCAGATACGGCCAGGACCAAGGCGCTGCACCTTTTCAGTGTGAGTACCGCCCAGCCAGTCACCTCTTCAGGTTATGCTATCCTAGTCTGAAAGCACTGTTTGGTTTCAGTGGCTTTAATGTGTCACAGTAGATAAAATTTAAAAATCATTTCAAAAACCCCACACTGCTTCCTAAAACAACCAGACAGCAGCACTGGGCCCTTGTTCCGAGGAAAGGCAGTTTTCTTGGCTGTTGGAAGAGTCTGAAGTGGCCTGTAATTCTGTTTCTGCAAGATGGTTCCATGCCTGAGACATATGTGTTCTAATTTTAGATGCAGTTATAGGCCTGCCGTGTTTACCTTGATAAATATTTAGTGAGCTGGCCAGGACTCGTTCCCCGTGAAACGTCTGACATGCCACGCTGTTCCCCCAGGGCACCCACGGTGGGTGTTTTCCTGTTTGAGGTCCGCTCTTCGGTGTATCAAGCGGGTGGCGTGGCAGGTTCGCCTCTGCGTTTGTGAAGAGCCATTGTATCAGTGGCCAGCGTGGTTAAGATCGCACCACGTGGGAAGCTCCGGACAGGCGCTGGCTGCGAGGCGGGCGATGTGATGATTTGTGGTTTAGGTATTACAGAGTGTCTCCTGGCAGCATCTGGGAAAACGTCCTGCCTGGGCGCACGGTGATTGATGGCCCGCGCCATCGCTCGGGAGGGAGTGCCAGTCGGGAGGTTGGAAAGGACGGTCCTTCACCACCCAGACTCACGCGGATAGCTGAGAGGGAATATTTACTACTGTTTGGCACTTTAGAGGCCTGTGTCTGTGTGGATTTGATTCCCTGGGCTCACCTCCACCTCCCAGGACCACTCACTCCTCTAGAGTGATGGATTCTTCCCTTCGAATTGGCCACTTGACAAAAAAAATGTATCTGATGTAAGGTTTGTTCATCCCACTTTGCATCTTGTGGGAAACTTCTGCTCAGTGACCTGAGGCTGGGGGACCCCCAGAGCAGTAGTTTGATGAGGTGTATTGGGATGATGATGAAAGCAAGCCCTGGGGATTATATTTTATTTATTTTATTTTTTTATTGTATTTTTAAAATACAATGCAGATGGCGTGGCAGTTTGCCTCTGCGTTTGTAAAGCATCACCTGAGGACATGCTTAGAGAGAGAGAGAGAAGGGAAACATCTGTGTGAGAGAGAAACATCGATCATCCATCGGTTACCCTCTATATATGCCCCGATCGGGCATCGAGCTGACAACCTTTTGGTGCACAGGACGATGCTCAGTCAACTCAACCAGCCGCTCCAGCTGAAGCCCTGGGGATTTGAGAGATGAAGAAATTAAATAGCTCATCTCTTTGCCCTTCAGCCAAGACAGCTGCCAAGGCATGGGCAAAACAATAGATGTGTCATCTTGTTTCTAAAGATCCTGTGACTTAAGGCCCCATAGTCTGTTCTGCGTGACTATCCCAGTTCTGTGTGTTTAGTATTTTTCTAATCTTAATTTAAAAAATAAAAAAGAGGTACTTCTTATTTCCTTGTGCTTTTACATAGATCAGACATTTTTTAGAAGCTCTCCAAAACTAGGATGTGATGGGAGGAGAGTTTTTGAAAGCTGATGATCATACTGATAAGGAAAAGAGTTTATAACTGCGTGAAGGTGTGGGGGAAAGATGGTCTGAGCTTCACTGGTATTCAGACTGGAGACTAGACTGTGGTTTTGGTTTGTTACTTAAGATTTGTTATTGGAAAGAAAATTCCCACTGCTTGTGTATGTATATATTTTAAACTCCCAAACTTCTGTTCAACTGTCTCCTGAAAGATGAAATTATATTTTAGAAGGATGCGTAGATAAGTTTCTTATCTAAATTGTCCATAAATTTCCCCACCTATCCTGTTTCAATGTAGTTTCTCCATAGGTGGGAGCTGGTAAAGTAATTTAGATTAACACCTGATCACAATGATGGAGTTCTCTGCTCAACCCTCCCCGACCCCCAAAGTTGGCAGTCGTTCAAAAAAAGGCCCGGGAACTAGCAAACAGGCAAACAGGGGGGCCGGGAAAGGAAATGGGGCTATTTTTTTTTTGCTGAGACCAGAACTCTACTGAGAGCTGGAGGGCTAATGGAAAAGTTTTAAAAAGAGGTAGTTTGGCAGGATCATTAGGATACTAAAATAGCGAAATTGAGTAAAAACAACAATAGAAAGATTAAAACTAGAAAGGAGGCATGAGTAATAGTAAAGATCAAAAAGTATTGTGTGTCCCCCCCCCACCCAACTTTGCCTTAGATAAAAAGGAGCCCCCAAGGAGACCTTAGGTGCAACAGGAAGGAAGGGGTCGCTAATGAGGGAAGTCTGAGGAAGGGCAGAAACTTTGTCTTCTTTCTGATCTTTATAGGACAGATCAAATGCCAACAGACAACTCATTTTATTGAAGGATTTGGAGGTCCAACCCTAGGAGTAGATCATTCTGACTTTTTAGAAAAATAGCATTATGATCCGGAGGGCATGGTGACTCTTGGGACGAGACGGTCTCGCGTGTCCTGACCGTCCACTGTCATTACTTTGAGAAGCTGTGGGGACTAGAGAAAACATTTCGGTTGGCAAAGAAACAAGCTTTGTTTTCCCCCTGTGAGCGGGATAAAAAACGTGGTCTACGGTAATTACCAGTTGGTATGTGTAATACTACCTTGCAGGCAGCAGTAATGATGTGTTCCCCACGCTGTAAGCTTTGTGTAACTTAATCAGCTCGTGGTCGGAGGCGGCAGCGGCCCTCCCAGCCTGTGAGCGAGGGTTTGCTGGTGGCACCGGCAGGCAGGGGAACTGGTCAGAGAGAGGCTGGGGAGGGGGCATGGGGCCCTCGGTACAGCAAACTGTGGTAGAGGGCTAACTCTCACACTGCAGAGGGAGGCGCAGACTGTGAAGTTGCTAGCGAGATGGTCTCTGTTGTGAGGAATAGATGTTACTGCAATGTCCAGAGTTTCGATGACATAGCTCACCCTGTCCCACGCGTGCCCACGGCGTTTTCTCTTTCAATTCTATGTATTTACCAGCCTTCTCAGTGACTTCCTGGGTAACTTGGCATCCTCGGCTGGGTGTTCTCTGAATACTGGGCACCTCTAGTGATAATAACAGTGCTCTGCTTTATTCATTGGTCTTAACAGAATTTAATTGGCATGAGTATCATCCAGTGAGGGGCCCACAGACTTTTCCTTAAGGATCTGATAGTAAATATTTCAGGCTTCATGAGCCAAGACACACACTGAAGATATTTTATATAGGTACTTCTATAACTATTTAAAATGTAACCATTTAAAACTGTAAAAATAATTCTTAGCCGGGAGGTTTTAAAAAAGTCAGGCAGCTGGCTGGACTTGGCTCATGGGCTGAAGTTTGCCAACTGCTGACCTAGAGACTCAGAGTCTCTCAGTCTACTAAAAATATCTGGGTTTTGGACCTGATTGGTGCCTGGAACATGACAATTGAGCTGTAACCAATTGTCCTTTGTTGTCACAGCAGCCCACCTTTCTCACTGTGGAAATTCTCAGATGTATCTCCACTTAGTTTGAAGGCAGACAGGAAAGTGCGAACTACCAGGAAAACACTGGTAAGACTTGCCTGGTGTCACATACATCTAGTTCCTTTAATGTTAGAGTAGCAGCCAACTTAGCAATTGGGCAAGTAATGGATGCTACTCCTGGGTGTTTATATAAAGCCTTTTGATGTTAAGGGAAGTAACATTTTCAACGGACAAATCAGTACCGTCCATACAGCTAGATCAAATACCGTTAAGATACCGCCTGAGTTCCTCAAAAAGTTACACGTAGTGTCCGGCCAGTGTGGCTCATCGGTTGAGCATTGACCTATGATCCAAGAGATCACGGTTCGATTCCCTGTCAGGGCACATGCCGGGGTTGTGGCCTCGATCCCCAGCGGGGAGGGGGGGGGAAATGCAGGAGACAGCTGATCAATGACTCTCTCTTATCATTTATGTTTCTATCTGTCCCTCTCCCTTCCTCTCTCTTCATGAAATCAATAAAAAAATATTAAAAAAAAAAAGTTACACATAGAGTTACTCTATGACCCAGGAATTTCACTCCTAGGTATATACTCAGTAGAACTGGAAATATATGTGTACACAAAAACTTGTATACAAATGTTCATAACAGTGTTATTTATAATGGTTAAAAAAAGCAAGAACCACCAAAATGTCCATCAACTGATAGTGGAAAAACAAAATGTGGTGTTTGTATAATTGGCTGTTTAGCCATAGAAAGGAATGAAGTATTGATACATGCCACATGAACGAACCTTGAAAGCATAGCATACTCAGAGAATCTAGACATGAAATAATCCAGATCCATCGGCAAATTATAAAATGTCCATACAGAGAGGAAGCATATTAGTGGTTACCAGGGCCTGGGGGAAGGAGGAATGGGGTGTGATCTTTTATGGGTAAGGAGTTTCTTTTGGGCGGATGGAGTTAGATGGTCATCATGGTTGCACAACCTTGTGAATAGACCACAAGCCATGCTATGTTAAAAATAACATGAAAATACTTACAAAATTATTTCCAAATAGGTAGTTATAAAAACTTCAAGGGATGGAGCTCATTGGCTCTCTTGGAAGTCCTAAGGATGTCTTAGGTCGAGGGATCTTTTTTTATTAGGCCTTACCCAGGGATATTTTTTTCCGTTGATGTTTTAGAGAGAGTGGAAGGGAAGAGGAGAGATAGAGAGAGAAACATCGATTGGTTGCCTCCTGCACAGGCCCTGGTGGGGGATTGAGCCCGCAACCAAGGTACGTGTTCTTGACTGGGAATTGAACCCAAGACTCTTCAGTCCATGGGCTGACACTCCAACTACTGAGCAAAACTAACTAGGACTCAAGGGGTCTTCTTTATCCAGTATTTTCCTTGGTGACTTGTAGGAAAGGATTAAGTGTGTAAACCAAGTTCTATTGTGCTTGGTTTAGTAGCATTTGTAACACAGTAAAAGAAAGGTTGAAATGACATGATAACATTTGAAAGGCAATCTTATAAAAACAGTTAAGATTATTAGAATA